TCCATCTTGGCATTCAATGTTGGTGGGCGGAACGGAGGGGACACAGACCCGGAGGAGGTCGTGATCATTGCGCTGTGAGTGTTAGTGGTCTGCTCTGTCGACGACACGGTGCTGATGATTATGATAATGCGTAGTGCGGCTCTATTTGCACTCTTCACCGCCACCCTTGCTGTCGAGCATACGAGGATGATCCTGTTTTCACAGACGACGGTGAGTCTCGGCTTCATAGTTTCCATCGACCATGAGCGCTAACTCGTCATACAGGTGGAGTCCCTCGCCATACGTCGTCAAAAGGAGAGAGATCGTGCGGGATTGGAGGCCTCGGGGATTGCGTGCTGGGATTTTCAGTATGTTCTCCATCCCTCATTCCCCTTCTCAATTAAATACTTCTCCTCTTTAACACTTCTTCCTTCCTAATCAACTCCCCACTAATTCACCCCTCCACAGATCCCGCCGCGCCGCCCTCCGCACCTACGACGCCGAGTGGGGCGCGCCCGACAAAGAGGGGAACCCGTGGTGGCCTGGGTCGAAGCGGAAGGGGTGGGAAGATACGATGGGGAGGGGGCGGTGGGGGTGGGTTTGTGAGTGATTTCTATCTTTATTTGTGCTTTTATTCTGGGGTGCTTCTTTTGACGGTGATTTGAAATCGTGAGGGTGGTATGGGTTGACGGGCACGTTCTCTGCGACTGGTGTCTGGCATTCGCTATGGACGAGGCTTTGCGCCGATTTTGCAGGCCGGAAGGACGAGTGCATTGAAGATGCGAGGGAGAATCCCAGGCGCTAGCAGCCTCTCGCCCTGTTTACTTCTGCGATGACCTGCACAATTTGCCCTGCATGCTGGGTTTTCGCGTGCCCCCACAGACATTGCGACGCTCCCCGATGGTAGTTTCGTCGCTATAAGGTTCCGGGACCTACTTTTTCTCCCCGCGTCGTCTGGAACTGGGGGTCTTCTTGTTCCGCCAGCATATAAGGCGGGGAAGGATGGGGAGCATTCAATTGCAAGTCCCTGACTCACTGGGTTTGTGGCGCCTGCATGCTCGTTGGGATTCCCCATGTGGGGCGGCGTGGTTTCTTGACCGACGTGCTTGTCCGTTGCCTGTCGCGGCGGCGGCGGCGGTGCTTAAAATGCGCACTGCTCGATAGTTTGTTTCCCTGAGTGCCCACTCGCGCGTCTCCACTTTCCCTCCTACCGGAAGTGGCTCTAAAACTGGGCGAGCCGCAACTCTGGCTCTCTGCTTTCTCTGCTTTATAGCTCTCGCCCTTGGTACTTTCCGACTAACCAATATTTCCACCACAGTCCCCGTCGGCGGCCCGCTCGGCGACGGCATGCACTATGTTCCTAACCCCTGCTACGCACCCGATGGACGGTGGATGCGGAGGAGCGAGTGGCCGGAGGGGGTCAAATAGCGAAGGCTCTATTCTGCTTTCGAGAGCGATATACATACATGTTATTATGGGGAACGAGCAGGTACCAGAAAGTGCAGCGTCACTGCTTGCTGTGCGCCGATCCAGTCGCCCAGGAGCTTCACTGTGCATCGGCTGGCGAGGGAGTGTGGCAGATGATTATACATGATTATCAACTCACTGCATACCCTTCCTTTTACTGATTTTCAAGCTTGGGAGGATACCTGGGAGATACACTGTAGTATTATATCGATAAAGCAGTCGTTGACGGTGCTACATACCCCGATCAAGGACGAGTCAAGGACATCGACAACGTTAATGCGCCAGTAGGCCGCGCACCAAACCTACGTGGTACTTCCTCATTTGACGGCGCATACTATACGAGTCGCTGGCAGGAAAGAATCCATAGCTTTCCTCCTCCATTTTTGCACCAACACTTAAGCTGACATGCTTCCCTCTGAGAAACGTATGAACCGGAACGCGGTATTCTATTTCATGGTGATTCTGAATAATTGTAATTACACACTATCGTACAAGGCAGCAGATCTGAGCTCCAGATTTGAGGACGAAAATCAAAGGAAAACGAGGTATGTAAAGGAAGAGAGATTCAGACTATTGATACTATATGTACCGTAGATATGACAGTGATATCGAGAGAGCAGGCAAACGAGTGGGAGCTGTGTTGTGCTTCGGTAGCAGAACATATTTTGTAAAGGAGTGTGGTAGGCCAAGGCGGTGAGTGCGATGGCGATGAGCGGCTGATATTGCGGGTCGCAGATGATGAGAGGATTTGGGAAGTGATGGGCTGTAGATCTCCACGTTGAGGCGGAGGTGAGGGGAGCTGCGAGGGGTCGGAGAAGGTCGGAGAGCGTAGAGATGGTGTCGAGGATAACAATCGACATGCAAGCCGCGACGAGGCAGCTTTGTGAGTCACACGAAGGAAAGGAGTTTTGGATGGAGGGTGACAGTGCTAAGGTTGCTAAGCTTGCGAGTATGGAAGGATTGAGGCGGAGCTCAGACGAGCTGCGAGGGATCGGAGGAGTGGAGATGGTGCCCAGGATGAAATAGAGTATGCCGACAATCGACGCACAAGCCATGACGAGGCAGCTGGAAAGTCATACGAAGGGAAGGGGAGAGAGGGACAACACTGAGGTTGCCAAGCTTGTAGGTATGGATGGACTACATAGCAAAATCACAGGTCAGAGAAACATCCTAACAAACGATATGATATAAGCTTACTTTGAGTTTTGGAGCGCCGGCTGGGATATGTGTAGCGTGGATGAAACAGTCATATCGGCCTCTTCGAATTGCGTTGTGTTTTCTTTTTCATTCCTTCCTCCCCCTCCCCCGACCCGCACCACCCCTCCCTCCTCATCTCTCCTCCATATTGCACTTCACTACACCCTCCCCCACCTCCTCCCCCTCCCTCTTCCCACACCCCGTCTGACCACTCGCGGCCCGGGATCACCCAACGCCGGCGCACCCACCCTCTCCATGGCCACCGCCTTCCTCTTACCCTCCGCCTCCGAACCACCTCCCCGATTCACCTCAACGCTGATCAACGGCACCGAGGAAGCAGCAGAACTCCTACCCCCGCCCCCGAAGTCGACGTCCAATTTCGCCGACGCAGTGGCTTTGAAATTCAGATTCAGCCCAATCCGCGGGAGGAATGTGGTCGGCGGGAGTGTGGAGTCGGAGAAGATGACGGGGGGAGTGGCGGCGGGTGAGGGTGAGAGCTCGGAGGAAGACGAGGAGAGGTCGGGCGTCCAGCTCTTCGACCAGCTTGTATCAACCAGCGGCGTGCTGGAACTGGAATCGGATGGCGCCCATGAGAGCGAGCCCTTGATCCCATCCGGCGCGAAGGAGACCGCGAGCGGGGACAACGACATCGAGAGCACACGCATCAAGGGGAAGAAGGACGCGCAGGCGGTGAAGATGCTGGACAGGAACTGCGGGATGGATAGTGAGGGGAGTGAGAGAGATGGCAAGGAAGGGAGGGATAGGGAAGAGAGGGGAGACGGGAAATGCGTGTCATGTATGCGCGAGAGGATAGTTCGCAGAGTGACGAATCGGTGCACAAGGTCGAAGAATATCGGGTGTTGAGTTGTAGTGGCTGCATTAGGGGAGGAGAGAAGGGCGTTCAGGGTGTCGAGGAAGGCGACGGTTTGAACTAGGAAGCCGTGAATAGGCGATCGCCATTCCGGGCGTGCGGGTGCGGAAGCGGATGTTGATGTATTCTGGTCGCATGTGCCTCTGTGCAGATACAACGCCCCACCCACCAGGATGAACAGACCCCATATCCTCCGCCGCACATGCATCACGTATTCGGGCAGCGTCGGACGACCAAGGGGGAATCGAGAGGCGAGGCGATGGCGGAACCACGATGCAGCAGGGCCCCCGGGTCCCCACCATGCCAAGGGATGGAAAGAGGGGAAGGACTGTAAAGGATGCTGTCCGAAGAAGGGGGGGAAAGGTGGGGTATAACCGGGTGCATAGTTGTCGGTCCAGTGAGAGCGCGCATACGCTTGGGTATGCGCCTGCCGCGCCTGCGCATGGGCCTGGCGTGTTTGGGCGTGACCGCGCTGTTGTGCTTGAGCATGGGCTTGGGCTTGGGCTTGAGCCTGAGCCTGTTGTGCTTGTGCTTGTGCTTGTTGCGCCTGCGCCCGTGCCTGCGCCTGCACTTGAGCATGAGCCAACGCATTCGCGTGAGCCTGCGCTTGGGCGTGAGCCTTTGCCAGCGAGTCCACTTCCGCATGACCGTATTCAGCGGCAGTGGGAGGGTTCTGTAGATGGAAAGGCTTCCAATGCGATTTACGAGTGAACGTATCGCGGAAGGTTTCTAAGAGACTGGGATGGTATTGAGATTGGGATTGGGAATTCGATTGACGAGCAGAGAGCCACCAGCGAGAGATTGCTGTGAGTGGACCGGAGAAAGTATTCGTGCCGCCGGGCGCCGCATGAGGCTCAGACCAGGCTGAGGGGTACACTGCACCAACATGGTTATGTCGAGCGCCAGCACCGGGCGATTTATGCCAAGGAGGAGTAGGATGAAGTCCTGCGGCCTTCGGAAGCCGACAACGACACCGTGGCAGCATTGGACGCGGCTGCGCAGAGAGATGCGCGGATTATGGGGGGATTGCTGAAGAAAGGAGCCTTTGAATCGTCTCGAATAGAATTATCAGATAGTGAGTGTTGATCTAGCGGATCACGGAGAATTTAGTCAGAGTCTGTGTCCTTGAAGCCGATTTTCCTAGCTGTGACGAAGGGGAGATAGGGCTGCTGTAAGGGAGGAGGGGGAGATTCAGAGATATACCATTGAGGAGGACGTGGGGGACAACGTCGACGACTGCGGCAAGCTGGTTGCTGCTGGTTACTGGCTGCGATCTGTTACTCGTCACAGTCACGTACCAAAAAAAAAAAATTCTAGATCAGGTAGATTTCATTTCAAAATCTTCACGCCTCTGTATGTCAAGTATGCCTTAGTATGGTAGCCGAATGTAATTCAAGTTCTATGATACACGGTCAGTGTCTGTGCCTAAAATAAGGCCCTGTCGCTCCCAGTGCTAGGGAATGAAAAAATTTATGCAACCCTGGAATACATCAAAGGGGAGTCGAACCCCTGCCGCTTGCTACGCATCACGAGATGCATCACGTGACCCTTCTCGGCATAGAAGGCAAGCATGATAACCGCTTCACCATTGATGTAGTTAAGAGGTAAGGGAGAAGCTGCAATAGAGTAGCCAAGGTATGCAGAAAGACCCAAGAAGGCCGATAAGTGCCGGTCTGTTCGATATTTTGCAAATTCTCGGTTTCGGGTCCTTAGACGTGTCTCCAAACATTAGATCACTAATGGTGAAGCGGTTAAAAATGATCACCTCACCATTAGTACTCTGGCTGGTTGGCTTGACCCAAGTTCAACTTGAACAGCGGCTCAAATTTCAATTCAACCATCGCGAGCAGAACAATCCTCCGTTTTTGCGACTGACTCGCAGGGTCTTCATTTGTCGACGACATCTATCAAGTTCATTCGAGTACCTCACAGAATATATTTTGGGTGTCGTGTGAAACAAGTCAAAAACGATTTGTGGGCGGTTAGCTTCCGCGATTGAGTCCCAGTCTCGCTCATGTCGTTGAAGGTAATACGATCAATGTATTGTCAACGTTGAAATTGCGCCCGTGCTAACATTGGAGTGGAAAGCTGAGTCACGGACCTACAATGTGGCTGATTCGACGCGAGAGTAGACTTTTGAGACTGAACATCGAGAAGTTTCATGTCTACGATATTTTGCATGACTTTGGAAGGAAGGAAGGAAGTATTGCCGGCGAGGTCCCAAAGCGAAAATTATGGCAAACTTCCGCATTGTCTCACTGTCAGTGACAGGTTAGTCAAATATATTATACAAAATCCGACCCACTTCACCGGATACCTAGCCGTTAGACAAATATAAACAGGACATCGTATGATAGTTCCCATCCATCCAACATGACCATCAACACAACGCACCTCGGAGGAACGGCGTCAGATATTGTCGTTGGTCGGATTTCTGTACGTGCCCTGTCCACAGCATACTTTCAATGCCGACCCAACTCGACGTAGCATGGATTAATGCACGTACTTACCTCCAACCAAAAACCTAAGATCAAATGTAGCACACAGGAGGATGTCCGAGTCCGACGACGAAGTTTCTTTCGCCTCGATCAAAGCCGGCGTTGACCGTCTCCCGCCTGGGGCGAAGATGCTTTTGAACAGCGGTCAGTATAATCTGTCTATTCTTACCTGCCATTGACATCAAGCCCGCTGCAGCCGACTTTTACTCCAGCACCCGCGGGCCCCAAAACTTGGAAATGCTAGGCCGATTTTTCGCTAGGTATCCCGAATACGCAGAGAAGACGTTCCTCGCGGTGAAGGGCGCTTTCCTGGCGAGCACGATCATGGAGCCCGATTGCTCGTGAGTGCATTCTTCACGAATTTGAACGTTACTAAGCGTTGGTTATTAGAATGGAAGGCATGAGAAGAAGTATCGACACGATCGAACACGCTTTGGGACCTCACAAAAAGATGGATGCCTTCCAACCCGCGCGCATTGATCCCAAAGTGTCGATCGAGGACATGATGGCGAATCTTGTTGTGTTGTTGAAGGAGGGCCATTTTTCGCATATTGGATTATCCGAATGTGGGGCGGATACGCTAAGGCGTGCGCATGCGGTGAGAAATCAGACATGGCTGAAATCAAGTTTGACGACGAATATTCAGATTCATCCTATCACGGTTGCAGAGATCGAGGTCAGCCTGACCTCGTACGAAGTGGAGACAAAGAAAGTCATAGAAACCGCTCGAGAACTCGGGATTTCCGTGCTTGCATATTCGTGGGTCCAGGAATTGTTCCATACAGTAGGGTTGATACAAGATTCGCAGGCCTGTGGCCCACGGTTTGCTAGCTGGAAGTATAAAAAGTATCGCAGACGTGCCAGGTGTGTGCGTCAAACCTCTGCAGTGTTCTTCCGGTGCTAATACAAGAACAGAGAATGATTTTCGCCGTCGCCTCGACCGCTTCCAAGCGGGCAACATTGAACACAACCTGGACGTCGTGTCTATCCTTCCGAAGATCGCGGCCGAAAAGGGTGTGACGCAGGCTCAGATTGCGATTGCTTGGGTAGCAACTTTGGGCCCGCATGTTATTCCACTGCCAGGGAGCTCGTGAGTCCGTTTATTTCTGATGAGCTTCAAGTCATCATTTGCGCACAGTGTCGTCGAACGAACCTTGGAGAACTGCGCAGCTGGTGATATTGAGCTGTCTGAAGAAGAAGCAAAAGCCTTGAATGCAATCGCAGAGGGAGGGGAGGTGAAGGGAGCTAGATATTTCGGTGGCCACGAAGAAGCGTATTTCTGGGGATGAAGGCGGGGACTCGGATGACCGTGGGGCCGACGTTAAGGCAAAGTATCTCGATAGTGGTATGTGCGAGACCGGTTCAAGTGTGGGACTTTGTGCAGCCGCTGGGAGAATGTCTATTCAAGGGAAGGACTTCGAAAACCGATCGAGATGGACAAGAGACTTGAAGAGCTCGAAAAGAACGAACAAAAAGACTGTGCCGTGAATGATGTGTATAATGCCGTTGATTTCATCGGTACGGCAAATACATGCCGATTGTTGCATGCCCATCACCTTGCCCGTCACTATCATTTTTCCCCCATCTCTGGTGTCGCTTTTATTCTGACTCCTCGCGCGCCGTCTTCAACCCTCTGCCTCTGAATTCGGCCCGTCCCCGCCCTCCAAAGACCCCCCTTCTCAGCTAATGGGACGCACTGGCATCGCGCACTCTCAACAACTTTTTTCCTTATCTGGCTGGCACGCCCACTCTGGCAGATTTTGGAACTTGGAAGTGCACTCGATGACGCTGCAGCGTATACGGCAAGACGGAAGAGAAGGATAATCACATGCAATGACTCCCCCCCTTCTCGGCAGCGACCCCAAGACGACCCTCAGACTCTCGCAGTCAGAAGCCAAATACTTATACTTGTGCTCTTGGCTGGGGAAAGAAAAGACTTGTTCAATGGTGAAAGAAATATATATCCTTGCAATCGACTAAGGGTCGAGCCAGCCGAATACATTCACCTCAACCTACATACGAGTCTGCAAATCAGCAAAACTAAAGATCACGGAAAGGCTCCGTGATGGCTAAGGTCTAAGGCGATTCGTGTGCCGACGCGAGTCAGAACGGTGAAGGAACACCGAAGTAGACCGACGCCGCCTTTTCTTCTGAGATCAGGACTCAATGTACGCATTGTGGGCAATTTCATCCTGCTCGGGAGTCGGTAACCTCACGAGCGGCCGCCTCAAAAGTTGGGGTTTGTGAAGAACGGATATCCAAGCAGGCAGACAGTCTCTATCACCTTCTTCCCTACTCGGTGCAACCTGGTTTGCCGTCAATCCCACACCCTACGGATGTACTCTGTAACGGCGTCATCTGCATCTTCATGATCAGTTGCGCAACTTGAAAGTATGGCGGTAAGCGAGATTTTCGCACATTAATATTATTGCGACGCTTCTGAATGACTCGGACAGAAAATGCTCACAAAGCACTTGGTAAGCCGCAGTCAGCACGGTCACGTTGAAGCTTCACGCGTTGAAATTACTGCATGATTGCCGCGTCCACGCAAATTTCTGTATTGGTATAAAAACCTTGCTTCGCGTCGGGACTAGCATTAATTCAACTCCCTTTGACTATCTACTCTCATTCTCATTCGCATGGCTCCTTCAGTTCTCTTCGTCGGTGGAAACGGTCTCGTTGGCCGTCCCCTCGTCCAAACCTTTCTCGCGAACAAGAATCGATTCGACCGCTTCGCTGTGCTCACTGCCCCTGAGAAGGTCGAGCGTTTTGCCGATGTGAAGGCGCAAGGGGCGGAGATCGTCGTCGGCTCTGCGCTCGAGGCAAGCTCTTACAAGGGTAAGCATACATATCTCTATTTGGCACAAAGCTCATCTCCCGACATCAACTCACAGGCTTCGACACCGTCATCTGCATCCTCGGCAACCTCGCCATGAAACTCCAACCCGGCATCATCAACGCCGCTATCGCAGGGGGCGTCCGCCACTTCTACCCCTCCGAGCTCGGTGCAGATTTCACCATTGACGATCACCCCCGCATCCGATTCTTTCGTGACAAGATTATCACACGGGAACACTTGCGGCTGCGCGCCAAGGAGGTTCCAGGTTTCAAGTATACGCTGGTGGTGACGGGGGCTTTTGCTGAGTTCGCTGCTTCGCCGTTCACGGGGGTTGATACGGAGAAGCATGTGGCGAGGACGCATGGGAGGAGCGATGCGAAGATCACGGTTACGAGCATGCCTGAGTGAGTCTTTGTTCTTTTCTCTTCAAAGGGTTACCTCCTTCACGCCGAAAATAAATCTCACTTCGACTTGTTGACAGCATCCTGCGGTTCATCGTCGAATCCGTCTTGATTCCCCTCGAAGCCGGCACATTCGAGCGCGAGCTCCGCATATGTGGAGGGAACCTCACGTTTGGGGAGGTCATCCAACTCGTTGAGGAGGCACAGGGCGTGAAGTACGACGTTCAGTTTCTCGACCCAAAGGAGATGGCGTTGAAGGAGGAGGAGGCAAGGAAGGCCGGGGAGTCGGAGGCGGAGATCATGTATTCGGGGGTGACACTCTTTGCTTCCGGAAAGGCGTTCATCCCAGGGCCGTATGCGAATGGGTTGGTTGATTTTGAGTTTGAAAAGCCGAGGGAGGCGTTCAAGAGGCTGTTTGGGTCGAAGTGAATAGCAGAGTAGCCCTACTAAAGCTATTTGGGGAGAAGGATGTTTTGCAAGCTGCTGAACAACTGTTGAATCTGAAAGATCTTCGAATAGTTACCATGCGAACACTATACATGTTGTTTTAAATTTTGCTTCCTTGTGACTACTACTTGGTTCCAGGGAGCTATTCCAATATCCGCAAATGAAGTCGAGTCACCCAACAATTCACCAGTTTAACTTGAAGAAGTCGGCACTCACAAGACTTTACTTAAACCAACAATTGGTGTCCAATTTTGGTTCAATTGGCGCCGAATATTGCTGCTCCTCTCTACGTCTACCATAGTGTAAGAATTTGATCATCGTAAGTACTAAGTACCTGCAGGAAAATTCAAGCGAAGAAGAGGAACAGAGACTACTTACTTCAACATGAACGTCGACAAAGAAAAATGGAC